GCTGCAAGCTCTCCGTGAGGTGGCCGCAGGCTGAGGGGGCAGCCCTCGCCCTCCGCCGGCAAGGCTCAGCCTTCGGCAAGTGCCAGCCCCAAAAAAACTCCGAGCACAGCTTTCGAAGTCTCCATTTAGAAGGCCCAGAATGACAAACCATAGAGCTAACACCAGTTTCTTTAAACTCGGGTGGCAGAGGAAGAAAGTTTACGAGGGAAAGTAAGTCCAAAAGTGACATTTTTATAGCATTCTTCAGCCATGTACTGCAGTGAACGTCATTGCGAAAAGAGGCTTTTGGAAAACCTAGGCGAGCAGCCTGCGGTTCGTTACTACAAACAGTAAAATTGAGGTACAGAGATTAAAATGAACGCACAGTTGTCAAAATAGAAGGTAGAATCCAGGTGTTGACTCCTGGGAGCCTTCCTACCACGGGTGTAGGATCGCTTAATTATTTCTAAAATAGCAGACACAAGTATTGAAGACATGAAGAAAAAAGTATATGGAAATAACAGCGTGTTTGCACAGAAACTTACCTTTGCACTTAATGCCATCCAAGAACACTGCTGTGACCTGGAGACAAGGTTTCAAAATAGCATCTTGAAACTTCACATTGTTGTGTACTCCATTGCCTGTCAACACAACGACCAACAACCCCCTAAGTTTGTTCCTCCTTCCAAATGGTTTTAAAGACATACTGAAGTAGATTTGTATTTTCTAACAGGACAAAACTATCTCAGCCCATACACTGATGCTCTCAAAAAAGCCGCTGTCACACAACCACGCTTTACAGCGCATCAGTGGATTTCAGCACATTCTTGCGATCACTTGAAGCTTTGTACCCTCCACCACTCCCTGTGTCATGCTCAGCACAGAGGTTTGGCTGTGCCTAGTCCAAGGCCTAGTTTGATGCAGCACTGCCGTGTGACTTTGCCTGAGTTTTACTGAAAAAATTGTTAAGCTATGAGAAAGTACATGAGCTAAAGCCATGAAAGACAAGAAGGTGAAGTCACAGAAGCGCTGTTCGCAGGATGGCGGTAGTTCGCTGGTGAAAGATTCAAGAGAAAAGATATGGAAGGAAAGAAAAGCAGAAGTGAAGATAACTCGGCAATGCTGAGGATCAGCCCGTACCAACAAATGGCAGAAACCAACTTTCCCCAGCCTATTGAAAACATCAACTAAGATTGATCAGTTTTCTTATCAGGAGTGGTAAGCATATGACTGTTTAGCTTAGTAATCTCTTAGACCTAGCTATCTATTTTGCATATTAGCTGATAAATAATTACTTAAATTGTGTGTATCCTGCTTGCAGAGTCTCTTTGTGCATGGTAAACAATGCCTGAACAAAAGCAACCCATTCATGGGGAGCTGCATGCTCTCCTGCTACTTTCTCCCTGCATTAAACTACTATAAGCAATTAAAAATAAAATTTAAAAAAATCTGTCCACACAGAGCAGTAGTTTTTTGCTAATACTACAAGAAGACCAGAACTGAAATTATAACAGCCACACAACAGCTTGGCCACATTTAAATTATATACAATTATTTCAATTTTTTCCATTATTGCTAAGCACTGGGTATACACCAATGGTATCAACTGCAGAAGCACTAATATAAAGAAGGCAACAACATAAAATATATAACACTTTCTATCCAAAAAAGGTAAGTGAAATTGCTGTTACATTTTTCCATTTACCATTGCTATGGAGTTTGTTATAGAAGAGACATTTGTCCATAGGGAACAGTGAGCTTTACACTGAAATGTTTGTCTCCTCTCTTTTTGTGACATTGCGTTCCATCTACCTAAAGACCTGCTCCAGTCTTTCCTGAGGATCATTTATTTTTATTAGAATGGAAACGAAATATAGAGTATTAGATCCTGAAATTTCTATTTAAAGTCCCATTATAGTTTAATGTTAAATAGCATAACAGCTTGCTTTCTCCCTCCTCTCATTAAATGTTGAACAGCTGAGATAAAAATTGGAATATATTAAACACTTCCACTTAACAGTTTAAAACATTGGTCAGTGCCTGCCAATAACATGAAATAAAAAATCTATATGTAAGTAATAATAAAAGAGATAAAAATTAAAGAGCTGTTTCTAAATGAAGGGCCATATTCACTTCTTGTTCCCATCAGTACTAAAAAGCTATTTGAGCAATGTTCTGGCAGTTCTGCAATGTGGTCAGAATGCACTTGTAGAAAATACATTTTTCTCTTACTCAGCAGTTCAAATAATTTTTAAATGTATCAGACAACTGTACAGAAAAATATTCAAGGTGATAACCAGGGCTTTCACAGTTGAGTTGCTTCCATTTCTTCTTTACCTCCAGATGGGTGCCATGCCAATCACATTTGTGTCTAGCAAGAAGAAAAACAACCAGTGTTCAGCTGAGTCAGCCATGTCTGTGACTTGCCTCCAAATATCCAGGGCTTGGTTTCTTAATTATGGATGGGGAGATTAATTTGCACAGACCTCAAATATCCAGTGACTTGGGTATCTATTGTTATGGGCACATATACACACGTGACTGCTAATATTAAAGATACAATCATAGTTTAGCAAAAATGTCGAGAGTAGCTTTGACTTCAGCTGAATAAATATTAGAGGAAAGAAACAGTTTCATTTCTGAATAAAATTCTCAGTAGAACTTAGGCCTAACCAGATTTATTTTTTTTTTTTTGAAGCTACCATATCCTTTATTTTCTGCTCATTACAGAAATGTAATGCAGCTGCAATACATCCATTATGCCTCCAAGTATACTACCATAGACATAGAGCTTTGGAACACAAGCAGTCGATTAAATCAGTGCAAAAATTAATTCCAGTGCACTCCAGATTCCTGGTTTATTCAAACCACTAGTATTCCTCCCACATTTGCACAAGCATATAGCAACACTGGAAACGTCTTAGAATCTTTACTACCAAATCAGCAAACTTATGGAAAGGGGATAACCGTATTGTTGAATACAATACTTACTTAACTGTTCAGTCATTTAAAAGTGTCTTGGGTTTTTTTTCACTGCAAATTTCTAGCTTCTTCATAAAGGATTACTGAAATAATCTTCCTTGGTGTATATTTTTTCTACTTTCTCACCAGTGTGTGAAAACTTTGCAAACTAGTACTACGATCCAGAGAATACCAGTTGTATCAGCGTGCATGGATCTAATAGACTTATATCTATGCTATGCAAGAATATCTAATAAAATACCTGGTATTTTACACCATTCAAGCAATACCCTTCATATATATCTATAAAGCATCTGTAATGTCCCAAACAAAACACATCGTTTCTCATACATGAAATTAATTATGCAACTATAGACCTTAAATCTTGCTTTATTCCTTGCATACACTTTGTTCATTAGACCACCCTGTACTTAGGTTTTTTAAATTCGTAATATCAAGCTTTTTTTTTTTAAAAAAAAAAAAGCACAAATCAGAAATAACTGTGAGAAGACTGGTATGTCATTGTCTTGTTCGGTATCATAGGAAGAGTTTTACTAACTGGTCACTAACTGGTAATATTAATTGATAAAAATCTTAATTGACATAGGAGAATGAAAGACTGCAGAATTTTAGTTGTAATTCACTGTTGTCAGTGACAGATTTTGCCTCATTTAAAGCTGCAGAGAGTTCTGTTTGCTGCATTAGCTGTTCCTTCAACCTCAGCGGCTAGCAAAAGTTAGTTTTGCAAGTTGTAGTAGTCAGGGGAAGAAATGGATGGTGGAATCAGGGTCATTTTATTTAAAAGAATCCACAAATTTCTTTGTGTCTCAGCCCAGGAGGATTTAAATGACAGACAGAGCTCATAGCTCCAAACCTCATTCAGCCACCACCCAATCCAAGAGATTTCTTCAGAGATTTTTTTTTTTTTTCTTAAGGTCTCACAATTACCAGCTCTCTTGAGATTATATAGTGGCTTTCTATTCTTAGCGTATTTCTCCCCTCCCTCTCTCACACACACGCACACTTCCTACTCAAAACAAGACCCAGCGAAACCCTCTGCCCACATAGTTATAATTCCCAAGAGAACTTTCATATGCTTTTGTTTTGGGCAGTGACAATGCGCATATGTTTTGATTTCAGCCCCCCCCCCATTGGTTCTCATACTTCAGTTTAATGAAGACAGACCAGCTATTAAACTTGGCAGTCTTGACAAGCTATAACCCAGCTTCTAGAGTTCCTTTGACCTTGCAAGTTGGAGTGAGATTTTTTTTTTTTAACATGTTGCCTATTCAAGGATATTATTACTGAGTAAATGTTTTGGTTTAGCAAATACATACGTTTTCCTGTTGGTGGTTGGTTTTAAAAGTGTAAGGCGCTTGGACTCTTTTATGAAGAGCATGTGATAAAGATCAAGATGAGTAAATTAGGTAACTGCTATGAAGAGGAACAGCAAAGCTACCCCGAGTTTTTTAAGTCAGCAAAAAAAACTGTAAGAACAGTGGAAATTCACGATTAAAGTGAATTACAACTGTGCTAAACCAGAATATCCACAGAGATATAATAAAATTGACTCAATTAATTTTCTGTTTACTTGTACATAAACAGGTTTCTGATGAAAAATGTTGCTGGATATTTTGCAAGAAGTTTCTTTAAGCCTTTCCTGTTCTTCCTAGATACTGTTGCATGCCTGAAGAAAGGAAAACAAGTTTGGAGCAGCCCCAGTCAGCCAGCCAGTCAGTCAGACTTCTATCTTTAATACAGAGACGTAACAATTTTTGCTCTGAAAGTTACATGAATCACAAGTCATCCCTGTCATGTGAATCCAGGCACATCACCATTTGAAGAAGAAAAGGTGCCCCAAATGAAGAATCTTGCCACAGATACATGAATTATAATACTATTTGGAACTGAAAGACGACGAGATTGCACCTTCTGGAGCACAGATTTCATGGATTCAAATTCCAACACTGTGGTTGTAACTGGTAAGATTTTTATTTTATTCTTCTTGTAGCTAGAGATGGTATGCACACGTGCTTGATCTTTGTCATAAACAGTTCCCTAGAGGGAAAAACAGTAGCAAATGGTCATACTAACAATTCTAAATGGAAAATAACTTGCTGCTGTGCCTTCCTAAGAAAATCAGATGCATGTCAGAGGAAACAGGCTGCAGTCTGCCCCCTTTACTGCCATCCAGTTTGGTTTGTTGTTCATTCTCTCCATGTTTTATTACAGAAATGTAATGCAGCTGCAATACATGCATTATGCCTCCAAGTATACTACCATAGACATAGAGCTTTGGAACACAAGCAGTCGATTAAATCAGTGCAAAAATTAATTCCAGTGCACTCCAGATTCCTGGTTTATTCAAACCACTAGTATTCCTCCCACATTTGCACAAGCATATAGCAACACTGGAAACGTCTTAGAATCTTTACTACCAAATCAGCAAACTTATGGAAAGGGGATAACCGTATTGTTGAATACAATACTTACTTAACTGTTCAGTCATTTAAAAGTGTCTTGGGTTTTTTTTCACTGCAAATTTCTAGCTTCTTCATAAAGGATTACTGAAATAATCTTCCTTGGTGTATATTTTTTCTACTTTCTCACCAGTGTGTGAAAACTTTGCAAACTAGTACTACGATCCAGAGAATACCAGTTGTATCAGCGTGCATGGATCTAATAGACTTATATCTATGCTATGCAAGAATATCTAATAAAATACCTGGTATTTTACACCATTCAAGCAATACCCTTCATATATATCTATAAAGCATCTGTAATGTCCCAAACAAAACACATCGTTTCTCATACATGAAATTAATTATGCAACTATAGACCTTAAATCTTGCTTTATTCCTTGCATACACTTTGTTCATTAGACCACCCTGTACTTAGGTTTTTTAAATTCGTAATATCAAGCTTTTTTTTAAAAAAAAAAAAAACACAAATCAGAAATAACTGTGAGAAGACTGGTATGTCATTGTCTTGTTCGGTATCATAGGAAGAGTTTTACTAACTGGTCACTAACTGGTAATATTAATTGATAAAAATCTTAATTGACATAGGAGAATGAAAGACTGCAGAATTTTAGATGTAATTCACTGATGTCAGTGACAGATTTTGCCTCATTTAAAGCTGCAGAGAGTTCTGTTTGCTGCATTAGCTGTTCCTTCAACCTCAGCGGCTAGCAAAAGTTAGTTTTGCAAGTTGTAGTAGTCAGGGGAAGAAATGGATGGTGGAATCAGGGTCATTTTATTTAAAAGAATCCACAAATTTCTTTGTGTCTCAGCCCAGGAGGATTTAAATGACAGACAGAGCTCATAGCTCCAAACCTCATTCAGCCACCACCCAATCCAAGAGATTTCTTCAGAGATTTTTTTTTTTTTTCTTAAGGTCTCACAATTACCAGCTCTCTTGAGATTATATAGTGGCTTTCTATTCTTAGCGTATTTCTCCCCTCCCTCTCTCACACACACGCACACTTCCTACTCAAAACAAGACCCAGCGAAACCCTCTGCCCACATAGTTATAATTCCCAAGAGAACTTTCATATGCTTTTGTTTTGGGCAGTGACAATGCGCATATGTTTTGATTTCAGCCCCCCCATTGGTTCTAATACTTCAGTTTAATGAAGACAGACCAGCTATTAAACTTGGCAGTCTTGACAAGCTATAACCCAGCTTCTAGAGTTCCTTTGACCTTGCAAGTTGGAGTGAGATTTTTTTTTTTTAACATGTTGCCTATTCAAGGATATTATTACTGAGTAAATGTTTTGGTTTAGCAAATACATACGTTTTCCTGTTGGTGGTTGGTTTTAAAAGTGTAAGGCGCTTGGACTCTTTTATGAAGAGCATGTGATAAAGATCAAGATGAGTAAATTAGGTAACTGCTATGAAGAGGAACAGCAAAGCTACCCCGAGTTTTTTAAGTCAGCAAAAAAACCTGTAAGAACAGTGGAAATTCACGATTAAAGTGAATTACAACTGTGCTAAACCAGAATATCCACAGAGATATAATAAAATTGACTCAATTAATTTTCTGTTTACTTGTACATAAACAGGTTTCTGATGAAAAATGTTGCTGGATATTTTGCAAGAAGTTTCTTTAAGCCTTTCCTGTTCTTCCTAGATACTGTTGCATGCCTGAAGAAAGGAAAACAAGTTTGGAGCAGCCCCAGTCAGCCAGCCAGTCAGTCAGACTTCTATCTTTAATACAGAGACGTAACAATTTTTGCTCTGAAAGTTACATGAATCACAAGTCATCCCTGTCATGTGAATCCAGGCACATCACCATTTGAAGAAGAAAAGGTGCCCCAAATGAAGAATCTTGCCACAGATACATGAATTATAATACTATTTGGAACTGAAAGACGACGAGATTGCACCTTCTGGAGCACAGATTTCATGGATTCAAATTCCAACACTGTGGTTGTAACTGGTAAGATTTTTATTTTATTCTTCTTGTAGCTAGAGATGGTATGCACACGTGCTTGATCTTTGTCATAAACAGTTCCCTAGAGGGAAAAACAGTAGCAAATGGTCATACTAACAATTCTAAATGGAAAATAACTTGCTGCTGTGCCTTCCTAAGAAAATCAGATGCATGTCAGAGGAAACAGGCTGCAGTCTGCCCCCTTTACTGCCATCCAGTTTGGTTTGTTGTTCATTCTCTCCATGTTTTAATCTTTGTTGACATTCTCTCTGATCCAAACCACATAGCTCAAGGGAGTGCAGGCTAGTATTAGATAAAGCTTACCCAAAAGGAGCTCTGAAGCAAGAAAACCGGGTTGCATCACAATGTCACACAGTCAGCGTCCAGAATTAGAGCAACACATGGCAAGTTTCAGGGTCTCAGTTTCATGGCAAGGTAAGGGAGATTTAAGCCGGAGATGCTGCCTCATCACTGCTAAACTAGACTATTAAATTTAAATATACCAAAGGAGCTTGCCTGAACATGCAGCACAAGGGACCAAATTTGGAGTTTCTCTTGCTGGCTCTTAACTACTGCTGAATCAGAGTGGCAGAACCACCAGCTAGAGACTTCTGAGCTTTAAAAGGTTAAAGCTCTTAAGGAATGCTGCTACTCGCTATTCCTCTTGTTGCCGCTGGCTCATCTAAAGGCAATCATTACACATATCTTGACATGTGAGTTGCTGGATTATTTTCCACTGCAGGTCATCTGAGGACATAGGAATGAGGTTGAAGCTACATCAAAGAGATTTGCATCTTGCTGTTTTCAATTAAACACTTTTTTTCTTTAATAGCTGCAAGATGGGCAGAACTAGTTTGGCTTGCTCTAGACATGACTGCAATTGAACTGAATGGGAGTGCAGAATAGAGCAAAAGGTATTTGCTAACCTCTTAAAAGGCTGACAATCTGGTCCTCTCCTATGATATTTATGGCACATACCCATGACGGGCACACTTCTTAGCACCTTATTAGTTTTTTCCTCCCCTCAGATAGCCATTTAGGTGCAGAAATTTACTTGTTCAAATAGTTTTAGACTAGTGCATCCCATTAAAGACACAGGTGCATCTTTAACCTATTACAGAGATAATCACAGCATGCCTCTGTCACATTTTCACCTGTTCATAATATAAACCTGCTGCCAGTGAGCCCAATTTACCATATAGTGCCTAAGAATATTCAGCCAGTTAGGTCTCCAAGTTGTTGCAGGTATTTCAGTACTGTTTAGTGATTTTTTTCATTGAACAATTTTACCCTAAAGTAGTAGTTTCTTATGGCCACCACTGAAGATGCATGTATTTCATTGTGAGCTATTTAATAACTTTACTATAATTCTACAGCTCTGCACACACATGTACAGAAACATGCACAACAACTACAGCTTCAAAATGGAGTAGGTGTCACCCTAACTCTGAAAGTGGAGTGGGACTACTGAGGTTTTATGTTCCCTGTTAGTGTGAAATGAGTACTATTTCCCCTGTTCCCCCCGCCCCCCCAGTACAAATTTAAACCTGGGGAAAACATTGTCAAAAATATTAGCACCATTGAGTTTTTCATAATATTAAAGAGAAAAGATTGAGCAGTTATGAAATAAGTATTAAACAAATTAAGAAATGCTTAAAGTCTAGCATTAATTAAGCTGTCATAAGCCTGCATTTAGGCTTAATTGTCCCCACATACAAGTACCTTTCACTGTGCAAAATAGCAATCACATGCTGTCAAGTATTTTTTTGTCCATTTAAGGATTTTTAAATATTTCAGAGTTATAGCATTAAAACCATTTCACAAACTCGTTTCCCTGCCACCCAGTATCTAAGATTTGGCAACACTCTGGATTGAGAACACTAATTGAGATTAATAAAGAGAGTGGGAGTTTTCCATCAAAGTTTTTCATGACAAAATGCCCATCTAGCTCAAAATCAGTTTTTTCTTTTTTTTTTTAAAAAAGACTTTCACAAAAGAGGATGCATAAAATTAAATGTAGTACTTTGGATTCAGAGAGTCCTTTTCCCTTTCCTCCTCTCTTTTCCTGTGGGGAAAAAAAACGAAGGAAAATATTTTGCCCAGCACCACAAAAAGCGCATTTTCCCTGGCAGAAAACTTAACTTCTCATTACTCGGGATTAAAAAAAAAAAAAAGAACCAAAAAAAAATTAAATAAAATGTTACTCTCTCAAACATTTTCATTAAATATGCATATCTTCATCTTCATGAGCATTAACAGTAAGAACGTGTCGACTGTGACCTGGGAGAATTTAACACCAGATCTTTTAGTAGTGGTATTTCTATGGATGATGATCCATCATTTAGATGATCTGTCCTATTGGCTCCAGTACTTTTTACCAGCTTCAGTTAAGGTTATTTCATAAGTAAGCCTTGACATGAATGAAGATTGCAGGGTTAGTTCTTACATTAGTGCATACAAAAAATGAAAATACGTTAGGCATTATAAAGGCTAAATCCTATCTAAAAAATTCAACCTCCATGAAGAACAAATATGTGCATGCATACATGTCATCACCTAATCTACAATTGCAGAGCAAACATAGGTTAAAAAAAACCTTTCTTTCTTTTCAGGTTTTGGTCCCTTTAGACAGTACCTGGTTAATTCTAGCTGGGAAGCAGTGAAGGTAAGCGTAAAAAAAAAAAAGGAAGGGAGGTGTTTTATTTTGTGGAGATTGCAAACCAAACTGTTTTCAGAGTTTCCATTGTGCTCAAGAAAGTTATTTCTCATGACTCAAACAGAATTGTGCCTCATGGAGCAGACTCCAAGAAAGAGGATAATTACGTAGTGAAACATTACTTTATTTACAAGATATTTTTTTTTGCATTATTTAAGCACTTATCAAAATATTATTCTTGATTTTTAAAAAGGATATTTTTTACCGAGGGTGCCTTCTCTGTAACTAATGCATGTGCCATAGGTTTTCTCTGTCCAGTCATCTCATACCACAACTCATCAGTGAGGCGATTTCCTTCTCATACAAGTGTAGCCTATTGAGTTATTACTGCCTACTTCCAAGAACACAAAACCAAAAGCATGCCAATTCCATTTTCACATCTCAGCTTTGGCTTCCGCTTTCAAATGACAGTGAAGTTTACAGTTAAAATTGAAAACAAAGGTCATTCAGATTTTTTTCCCCTCCATACACCTTGATGAGCAGTAATATGTCTGTATTAGAACAAATTTAGCTGGGTGATAGAAAAACATGGTTAGATACCTGGCTTTCAGCATAAACTTTTATGTTACAATTGTTTATTTTCAAATTATTGTTTGTGTGAACCCACATTTTTTGGGACACAACAAAAATTTCCACAAATAAATTATTCTTCAGGAAAAGGAACACTTGTTTTTAAAATATTACCTAACTCTTAACAATAACATAACTTCTCTCTTTAAATATGCCTTACAAAAGAAATACCTGACTATTGCATGTAAGAGTAGGTCTGCTACAATAAAATAATTTACTAGTCTGGTACTTTAGTACTTTACCTCAATCTAGAGTGTGAAAGGTCACAGTATATATGTTCAAACAGTAGGAACAGCTGCAGAGATTTGCTCAGCATGTGTAAAAGTCACATGCAAGGTTCATGCATTCTCCCTGGCACAGACAATGGCCTTCCCTTGAGTTCAGTTACTCTCATAAGGTATTTATGAACAGAGTTATTTTGAGATGGTCTTTCACACAAGTACTTAGCAATTCCAAGGTAGAAAGAAGGTTATTAACAATGAAATCTGAAATTAGTTGGGGAAGAGTCGAGGTAGTAAAACTGAGTTGGAAGACTGGTCCAATATCTGCAAGAAACAACAGATAATACTGGTAAAAATGGAAAGCAAAACTTGTAAAACAAACTGAGAGGATTATATTCTATTAGGGAGACTGAAATAAGCCCATAAATATTTGATTCTTCCAGACACTGAAATGAGAAAGGTAGCTATAATAAAGTATTGGTAGTGATAGAAAGATGATGACTCTACAGTACTATAACCATATTACAAGTTTTGGTGACAGCTACTGAAGATCTGTCTTGAAAATGAAGTGCAGTCAAGCCAAAACAATTGACAAAGAAGGAGCTAGTACATTTTTCCAAAGACCAAAGCTGTAGCAGCTCCACCAAACTATACATATTTTCTAGTCTAGCTTTGTTGGGTGACGAATGCTGAGTGCAACTTGGTGTTTGGAAGAATAAATCTATTACCCACTCAGTCATGAGGGATGTTATCCCTGTAGGCAAATGAGAAACAAAAATACTTCAGTGATACCTCTCCACACCCCAGTCATCACAGGAGACCCGTAGTTATCTTAACTCCAACTTGACATGTGCCCTAAACCACGAATGTTTTGTCAGTTGACAGTGTTCTTGCTCATTATTTCCTGATTCCTAATTCCTGGTTCTAATTTTGGGTGCAAGATCATCCTCTTCTGGCTGAGAATAAAACATGTTCTCTATCTGTAAGCAGAACAGCCTAAAGCGAAAATGCGTCGATGAGATGAGTTTTCTCTAAGAATGTCATGCACAGGTTACACCGGGAAGTTGCCATATTCCAAGGACTACAGCATTCCACAATGAAGCAGATGTCAGTCCTTTTGTGTGGAGGAGAGCAAATCCATTTCCCACTGTTGTGACACCCTCTGTGTGGAATTAACTTGTATGCATATTGGGGATGCTGCTTTGGTTTCCTATTCCCTGGCAAAGGTGGTTAATCCAGACAATTCAGGGAAATTTGCTGCAAATCTGGAAGTACTTTGAATGTTGATAGGCTTCTCCGTGCTAAATATCAATCTCATGGTATTATTCCATTGGCCTTGTTTACATGAGTAGCCCTATGGTCTTCAGGAAGCTTATATATTAAATGTAGCAAAATTTAGTATTTAATTCTGAAAGTGGGGTTCCTGCATGGATCACTAAAGTGACATAAAGCCCTCCTGCTGTGTCTCTTTTCTGAGAACGAAGCAAGAACACACTCAAACTTATCCTTGAGAAAGTACTGAGCAGCCACACCAGAGCTACTAAGCATAATTGCTCAGGCTTAATGCCTTTGTAGCGTTATCCAGAACCATCCTAATTACTACCTCAGAATGAACTGGGTACCATGGCAGCCTCAGTGATGGTGTAATACTGATATGTGTCATCTTAAGAGTTTGCATCCCAGAAGGGTCTTCACACCCAAGTTCTCATCACAGCACAAGATGACTTGGACACAAGGCATTCATCAGCACCGCAACCACAGAGTTCTCATTCCTCAGAGAGCACCCCTCCAAGTGTTCAGGGAAAAGGATAGTCAAGTGGATCTGAAAGTACAGGTCAAACTGTCGGTTCAGAGTCATGGAGTAAAGCTTCAGAGCTTTTCTACGCACTGTCACATGGCCCAGCATGGTTGTCTAGCACTAGAAAAACGGCTTCTCTTTTAGAAACCTGTCTCCCTAAGTTTTTCATGGTTCTCATAACTCCATTCACCTGAAATACCCTCCTAAAATATGCATGAAAGCTCCACTGGCAGCACTTTTAACTCTGGAAGTGCAGGACATTCTCGCTGAAGGAAAACATCACCAAGCGTTTACTCTGCATTTGCTGACTGATCACATTGAGTTACCACGATGCATTAGTTCTTCAGCATCACATGGGACCCTCAGAATCCCAGATTCCCTGAATTATTTACTCCATTTTATAGATTGATAGTCCCACCTAATAACCCTTGGTCTGACCCTGTTTCTGTGTCTCCTCCAGAAACTCCTGTCTGGCACTTGGCAGCTAAATAACCTATCAGGGCAGCCTACTATCAAGGTCAAAGTCCCCAGTTAATAGGGCACAAATGTAAGTTGAGTGACAACGTTCATAGTAATTAAACTGTTAGTGCAAAGAACAGGTCACATTTCCCACTGCTTCTGGGAACTATGTTTGCTATCGGGAGATGAGGATCAGATCTCGGAGTGCAGTTTTTCATCCTGCCACTGACCATGTGGTCTTTGGAAATTTGTCATTTAATCTCTCTGTCTCTCCCTCTCTGCTTTAGTTTCATCATCTGTGAAACTAAGAAGACATTGCTATTTAGTTCCTTTGCTTCTGTTCTGGAACTTTCTTACATCCCTAAAGCTTTAAAAAAGTATCTGCAGGATTGAAAAAAAAAAACAACCCCAAACCCCAAACCTACCACATAATCAAACAAAAAAAAAAAAAAACCCTTTGTTTGCAACACACTTGCAGACTGACAGGGTCAACTCATAACTTAGGGTTTTTCCTTCTGCTCTAACACAAGCCTTTTGAATGCAGTTCACAAAATTAACGCACACAGCCCCCTGCCCCCCTCCCCGGCAACCCAAATCAGTGACAACTCAGGCAAACTCGGTGAAATTTTAGGAGTTTTCTAAAAGTTCAAGATGCTTCTAACACCCCGTATGACACACAACCACCACATCTGAGCACAGCTGTTCTGTGCAAATCACTTCTGTTTGGCTGTGTAACAACAGGGGCCAGAACTCCAGTGGACCAGGACCATGACCACAACTCACCAACAACTCAAGGTCATCAGCTGATAACACTGGTTTTCATTTTCCCTTTTAGAAAAACTTCCCAACAAAGAACCTTCATGCTTTCTTTGTAACCACTTCTCCCACAAAAAAGTCCTCCAAAACTTAGGTCCTCCTTTGAAGTTTCCTTTGCTGTTTCAACTACAAAAGAGAGGCATTTGTTTACTGAATTAACTCACCAGTGTGAGCTCTAGTTTCCAGATGCAGTCATCCTCCTCTACCGTCTTCAGTCTCTCACCTTAAATGCAAAAATGGTTTTGGTTAAGGCTGAGACAAGGAACAACCTTTTTCTTTTGTTCCATGTTTGCACAACATCTGGTCTAATGGGGTTAGGATTCTTAGACAACGAAGTAATACGCATTATTAACAACATGCTGAAATTGCGTAGGACATAGCAAACTATCTTCCTTCAACACAAATCCTCAGCCCTTTGCTATTGGCCAGCTTCTGGTTTTGTCCTTCACAAAAGTATTTCTGCGTGTTTCTCCCATGACAAATGGTGACAACAGAACGCCAATCCAGAGAGGAGAACAGCCTAACAACTTTGGGTCTCCACATTCTGTACAAAAGTTATGGGTGGTTGAGTCCTCTAAGCCTTACAGTTAAAAAGGAAGAATCTCATTAAATGTTGAAATTAAAGATGCTTTAGAAAAGAAAATGCTAATTGTGAACCAGCTGGGGTTTTCTTTTTTGGAAGCTAAGACACAGTACAGCATTCTTAAGCAAGATGATGCAATGGTCTCTCAAAGACTGTCAGCGCCCAGAGGAAAAAAGGCTGGCACTGTTCTCTAAATGTGTTTACTTCCCTGCAGGCATTGTTTCCTTGCTTGTGTCAAATAGTTTATTGAGCACAGCTAATCAATGTTTCCGCTGACAAGAAAATTGGAACAGTTTATATAGGAAGCCAGTGTTGAAGGGCAAATTTCCCAGTTAGCACAGCTTAGAACTGCAGGCCTCATCCGCACCAGAATCCTTAGTGAGAAATGAAAGCTTGAAGAGACAATGGCATTTAATAAAAAGTTACAGGTTTCTTGGGCTAATCACATACCTCTGCTGCTGATGTTTTGGCTGCACCCCCCCTTAGAAACTTCATCTGTACCTTCCTTTGGTAGTGGTCTGCTCAAATGCAACATGGATTTTGAGCCACCGTTTTACTTTTCTTTGACAAAACTTTCTACCTCAGATGCATTCCTTCTGCCTCCTGCCATTGCAGCAGCCTACCTTCCACTGACAAAATAATTTCAAGTAATTTCCACATGACATTTATTCTCCAGACCATTGTCCAACCATCTGCCCAGTCTGCTGCTTTGAAGGGTGCCTTTGTTTCTTTCACCTCCATCCTGAGCACAGTTTTTTTTTTTCCTTTGGGAAAGGGTCCCCTCTGGAACTTCAACTCTATGTAAATGACAGAAAAATAACATCCCAGTAAGTGACATTTCCTTTTACTAGGGCCAGATTCTAGACCAAAACACAAGTTAAACCCATTCTAAACGTGACCTTCCTTGTGTTGACAGCCACCTCCAGCAGAACTTACTGGAGCCAGTTCAAGCCAGCAGATCGCGTGTCACTTGAGTGGACAGCTAATGTGAATCCTCCCTCATTTGTCTCTCTAGATAGTGCAGCTTTATCTACTAGAACTTTCAGAGGAACAGCTCTTACCTCTATCAAAGCCTGTTTAGATGCTTCCAAGTGCAGACCCTTTCCGAGAGATCCTGTATTTCATGGTTCCTCACGGACCAGTCAGTCCCTAAGCAATAACCACTCCCACCCATTGGAGACTGAGTGTCTCTTTGGAAAACACAACACTGGCTCCACATGGATGTGACATTAGGAAATCACTTAGTGCATTTTAGCTTTCAGTTAAAAAAGGGGAGAGGTACCACAAGACAACAGAATGTCACTGCAGACCAACGTTTAGGAACTGTGGGCTTAGACAGACATTGCTCCCTCTTTCGTTTGTTCTCTGAGTTGGATCAGCCCGATTTCTTTATCGCAGTCTGAGAAATCCAATGCTCTTACAAGTTCCATGGTGGCTTTTTGTATACCTAGGAGCTGTCCAAGAGAGGCCTTGGTAAAAACATAGATTTGCGTATCATGCAGCTGCCGGTGCTTTACCAAAAAGCAAAGGAGCAAGTCTTCAAGATATGGACAACTCTTCAGCCACTGGTGAGTAACTAGAAAATTACACAATTTTTCCCCTTCATTTATGAATATTATTATTCTGAGCAGACCTTTAAAAAGATCTCCAAGAGTCCTGCACAAAAGGTGCATCAGACTGCTCTGGAAAGTGACTATTAAAAGCGACGATTAAAACTGTGATAAAGGTTTCAAACTGAAATTTGGAGCATGCAATAATTAGCATGCTGTTTTAACCCCGTGCCATTTAAACAGCATGACTGCACGCTGAACAAAGGAAAAAAAAAATCCACCATAAATTGCAAAAAAGGTGCCCAGCTCTGAAGTCCTGAGCTGACTAGACACAACAAAAACAAACTAAAGCACAATTTTGTTCTCATTTATAATCTCTTATCGAAGTTTTCTTTAGGCATGAGCTACAGCAAGACTCCCTACCTTGAAGCTAGTATTTCACATAATGCTTGGCACTATTGCATTACATGTTTTTAAAAAAACAGGTCTCATTTTTAATTTCCTGTTATTCACTCTGGTGGGAAAAAACAGCTTACTGTTCACGTTGGGCTGGCTTCATCTGCCAAAGCAATCATCATCCTTGAGCAGCGTGGGAAGAACAAAGGCTACCAAGAGATGGATGCTTGTGGTTTTCACCCAGAAGGTGGCTGTTGCATGCTAGATGGCCCGGAAAAGATTGAATCTACAATTAATATGAAGACTCTCTGGAAAAACATTTCAGTGGAAGGGATTGATATAATCTTTTCCAGAGATGCAGGAAGGTAAACACTGCATTTTGGGGTCTCACATTAAAAGCAGAAGTAACTCAATCAGCTCATTTAACCTTCAAGAATCTTTGCAATGACTTTTCCTCCAACCATAATCACTTTGAAGGAAAGTCTTCAGAGGAGCACAAGTATGAAATTGGGATAAATATAAATTTTATATAAAGCAGCCTTCATGAAAAACTACAGCCAGTAGATATTTTCCATGGATTTGTAAATTCCAAAAGAAACAAGTTTCAACATAGCACACCCTGTGATTAACAACCCCAGTAAACCTGAGCTATTAAAAGAGTCTGAAGGCAATGCTGACCAGCAGGAGATTTTAACCTATTTTTCCCAAATGGGAGGGACACAAAACATAAATACATACACTGAAGAACAGAGCAATTACAGGTACCTTTAGAACGATGCCTGTGATCTCATTTTGTGTTTCAGTAGTACTGAAGCCATTTTCTATTATGCTAGTCTTCATTTAAAAGGAAAGCACAAAACCCAGAAAATGATCTCATTTTTAAAAAATAAAAAATCAGCTACTTTTGGCCTTTTAGACTTTGCATCTGCAAGTTAAAAGGTGAGGTGGTAAGAAAAATCCCCTCCAGAAGGTGAGACTGTATGGCTTACACAAAAACCTGTAGCACGCAGTTGTAGTTCCAGTAGGCTGTGCTACGTTTCCCATCTCACATAGCTCACAGAAGCCTTGAAAAGAATGCATGTCTTGTGATTTTTTTATTTCAAGTTCCTTCTGGGTGGGTGTCTGAGAAACCAAACCATCAGATAAGGAGCATTTGTTTCTCAAATTTGGTGTATTTCAGCATTTCCCTTCTTCACTAAGCAAATATGTTTTTAATAATTTCATAAACCAGATCTGGTTTGGCTACTTAAATAATACTTAATCAAAGTTTACTGTTCCTTAATTTGGGTTTCTGGTTTTGTTTTGTCCTTACTATTGTAGGTATATCTGCGATTACACCTACTACGCTTCTCTGTATTACGGCAATGGAAGAGCAGCTTTCATCCATGTGCCTCCATTATCCAAATCAGTAACAGCAGACTTCCTCGGAAAAGCATTACAGACAATTATCTTAGAAATGTTAAAACAGTGTGGGGAAGAAAGAGAGTAAGATGGATCATGTAAGAAAAAAACAATTTCTAGAATGCAATTCCTTACTCTCTTAAATGAAGTAAATTGAAAGATTACTTAAGAAACTCACATAAAGGAATTTATATTCCATGTTATTTTCAGTGAAATTTCCTTACAAACCCTAAAAAACTGTTTAGATCTCTCCTTGGTGTAAAAAGCTTAAGAGAAAGAACAACTGATTGGCATCTGTACTGCTAACAATGATGAGGTTGCTTCAGATTTAAGAAAGTGTGAAACTGGACTTTTTAGATGCTTAATCCTAGTTCTGATGGTTAGAAAGACACTGATGAAGACTCGCTGAACCCAGATGGATGCTTACAGCCTAAGGCCATTCAGCATCGGATGGCTGTAGCAGAGGTCCCCCTCGGCCCCTGTCCAAGTCCAGAGAGAAAGTTCAGCCAAAGTGCCCACATAAACAATGTAAATAAGGGGGAAACAAAACACACATAGGGACCCTGTCATGTGAAGTTTTACAATTCTCTCTTGGTGACCTGCTCTAAATGCTGGTTTTCCACATCAGAAATGGGCTACGAACCCAGGGTGACTTAAAAGAAAGTAAACAAAAAGCTGGAATGCAGCAGGAGCTGTAATGCCACGAGCAATGTGGGTTTCAAGTGCCCGACACCACCACTTACCCGTGTTCTCCGTGCCTCTGCCCAAGGAACACAGCACAGTCCTTCCACAAAGCACAGCCCAAAGACAGCAGTCCTGCCGTAGAACAGCTCACGGCTACTCAGGGACTTGGGGGATCAAAATCAAAAAGCCAACTTGTCCCAGGAGAGGCAATCGTTGAAGCGCTGTGCCATGGCACATTACGTTACTTACAACCAGGAACCCAGTGAGACCCCAAATTGTAAAACTTGGCACCAGACAGGGACGGATTACATCTGTGCTTGCCCCCTGCCAAGCCAGGCCCCTCTGCGCCTCAAACACAGCTTCAGACAGACAGACTGCACCATGGCAGCCAGGTACGCCAGAGGTTTACAGCGCTTCCCCTTCCACTCGCAGGGAACGTCAACGCATGCTCTCCTTGATCATCTTGCTAGCACCATGACAGAGAAGGGCGAGATAAAATTAGCAGGTATTTTTCAAAAACAGTCACTGGAACAGGACAGCAGCAGCTTAATGTGGACACCTGGGATCTCCCAAGGGAAACGAGCCTGTTTCTCAAGCATCACGTCAGTAAAAAGGACAACAGACAAACCTAACGGCACGGACAGCTGATGAAGCTCTGGACCACCACCGTGCCTTATTTCAGTCAACACTCTGATGACAAGAGTCAGAGGAACTGGAAACGCCAAGATTTTCTTCTAGGTTTTTTTCTTGCCGCTGTCTTTTCCAATGACCGTTGCAGAAAACCAATAACCACGTGCTGGATGCCTGAATGCCTCATCTAGGGATTGCTGTAAGGGTAAACATGCGGGTTTTCTTCAAATTAAATAAATAAAAATGCTTACCTTGTTCAAAGGAACTACCTACTGCAAAACAGAGCTCAAAGGCCCACTGAAAGAGGGTCCACAAGCTCGGTGTCACTGGATGAAAATACTTTTGATTTCAGCACACCGTAATGGCAGTGCTGACCTGTACTAGGATTTATCCACAGCAGCTCAATTAAATGCAGCCAAAAAGGGCAGAAGAAAAACAGAGATTTACTCTTGAGTTTTCTCACCCACACTTGCTTCGCCATCAGGAGCAACAAATTCAAAAACAGGCAAATGCATACAGAATTCTTTTATTTAACTTAAATCATGTAGTACTGAAACTACTAGAAAAAAGCAGAGTAAGAGAAACTAAAGGAGCCTTAGCTTCAGCCATTCAAAATAGACAAAGTTTCTTCTTTTCATAATGTAAAGAATCCCGAGTATATCGCAATAACAGGAATAAATTCTTACAACAGAATATACAAAAACATTTTGAAATTTTTTTTAATCTACTGATTCATTTTAATATAAACACAGGAATTTCTTTAGGAATAATTTATACACAGCAAGTCTTTTTATGTAATAAATTGGCCATGTTATTGTTTAATTTTCTCTTAAAAAAATTTAACGAAGAAAAATTGGAAAATGTTGTATTTGCAACTGCATCCATTCCTTAGCACTTTCTAGTTTTGTTTTTGTCCCAGAGGTAGACAAACTCTGGCCAATCCTTTCATCTCAAACCTCACTGGTTCAGAAAACAGAAGAGCCGATTTTTGAACAGTATCTAAATCGCCAGAACCCTTCAGCAACGCAGTCAGTCAGATCCGGGGGGAGCGAGGGGGAAGGGATCTTCAACATTCTTAAATAAAAATAAATAGGGACCCTGCCTTGCTCTAGTCAACAAAGCTTCAAATGGTGCTCAACATCTTTAGAGGCTGCATACAAGCTTTTAAAGTGATAAGAAATTTGCGAATAGTTACTCAATAGTAACGAAGAAACCCATCTTCCCTCTTACGCAGTCGCATCCTTCAAACCACACGGCCGCCGTAAAGCAGGTTCGGAACAGCACAAGTGAGACTGGGTAGCAGCAAAACCCGTTCTGTTTCCCCGACCAGTGAGGTTCTTGTAATCCATTAAGTTAACTGCCCTAGACAGTAAAGTGAAATGACCAGTTAAGATGATCCCACCCCAACCAGAGGGCTCTGGAAGACCAGGATACTGAAGATACAGAACATTTCCCCAACTCCTTTAGTCGTTTGCTGTATACTGGGACACAAAGCTTGGGCGGGTAGGGGGAGAGGGACAGGCCGTGAACTGGACGAGTCAGCGATCCTTTTTGGCATATTGTAAAGCTAGCTAGTAAACTGGTACCATCAAAAAAACCTGATCACATACACACACCCATACACAGACACAGAGAAGTGCCCTTAAATTATATTTTAGGCATTTATAAACTACAAACATTTTATAAAATTATTCTATGTACTTACAAAATGCAACAAAACATTTAATTAGTTCTTGTAAACCAGATCTTCGTCAACTGACTACCCGTAATCTACTGGACTTAAAGCCCTATTGAAAATGCTAATGGAGTATTAATCAACAAAACGCATACAGGAGAAAAAAAAAAAAAAAAAAAAAAAAAAAAGATGAGCACGCACGCGTATGCACACACACGAACTAGTGATAGTCTTAAGGTACTTGCAAAACAGACCGACTGTGAGTTGAGACCGACTCATACAGACCGATGATAACAACCGTTACAACTCCTGGCAATGAATTTACCGCTCCAGCTGGGAAGTCCGGAGGTTTATTTACAAGTACCAACGATCAGAACTGCGATACCCGAGCTGTGATGCTGTCCCACATACCAAGCTCAGGAAGCTGCCTCAAACTTCTGCCAAGCCCCGCGTCTTTGTCAATACCCATTATCCACAGCCTTTGTTTTCATGTGTCTCCACACAAGCATTTACCTGGCTGCGCTCAATTTCAGAGGCCATTCATCCGTCATCTCTGAGCAACCAGTTTCTGAGCTGAGGCATCCTTCGAAGCCCTCCTGCCTGGTCATAGTTCTGTATCTTCAGCACCCCCGGCCACTAGTGTTGTTTCTACGCATCGTTCTTAAAATTCTCGTCTGCGCAACTGCTCATGGGGTAAGTTGCAATATCTGGCTTTTATCACTGGTTAGTAAGGAGTGGATCCCTTGCACCTTCCCCCACTGCTGTTCAGCCCAGTGATTAAATAAGACGGTTGACAAACAAAATAAGAATAACAGGAAACAAGTGTTACTTGTACTAATGGAATGAAAAGGGTTCAAACGTATATATATCTATATTATAGATATACATATGCAGGATATATATATGTATATATAGATATATATTTATGGAGTGACACCAACAATAGGAGTGTTTTCCGCTTAGACTCGGATTGTACCGAACACTCCTCAGCTGTTCCCAGAGGATCTGACAGCAGTTCCATCTGGTGACCAGTCATCCCGGGCAAACTGGGCTTTCTTTCCTTTGTTTTTAAAGGCCAAGAGGAGCATCAGTGCGAACACGCCTAGAAGCATACATCACTTCGAACCAGCTTTAAAGAGCAGAGGCATCACGCTGAGAAAGGCTCGGTGCGCACGAGGCCGGCCTCACACTTTCCGTCACGCTCGGCTCCTGCATCTGGTTTACTGCTCCCCCGAAAGAGCACCTCGGTCGGTACCACGCAGCCGACGCTTCTGGGTTTGCGTAGGAGCCACGTCCCTTTGCAACCAAACCACCTTCTGCGCCACCGAGCGGCTTTTCAATGCGAGTCAGGTGAGAAAACACCAAAGCCGCCTGCTCCCCGCGGTGATGCCAAGTTGTTCTCCTGCTGCATTAAAACATCTTGGTACCATTTGTCAACGTGCTGGTTTTCAGGGCTGGGTGGGCTTTTGGTTTTAATTTATAAACAAATTGGATTACTGTAACTTTATTCAAACATAGCTGAAGTTCTAAATAAATTTGCCATACCAGACAAGCCAGTGGTCTCAGGGAAGAACAACATTACAAACCATATTATGACTCTATCAAGCCAACATTAATTCTCAGTTGTTCACATGCACAAACAACTTGATTTACTGTCCAAGGGAAGTCTGCATGAAAACCCCACGTGAATAAAGCTATTCAAAATGCACAAAACACAACAAAAAAAGCTATGGAAACAAACAGAACAAAAAAGGAATTAAGCTTGAATTGCGAACACAGAACGCAATGTTATCATGAAGGTGGTTTGGTCCAGGAGAGCTGACTGTCACCACGCACGCGTACGTGATGGCACGTGACTGCCTTCTACTGAAGTGCTTTCTGAAATGTTTATCATGATGGGTGCTACGTCATTAGTGTTTCTTCCTAATGCATTTTAAAACCACCTACATACAGTTATAAAACCCAGTAACTCGGACAGTTTTAACAAAACCCTCCTAGCCAGCTGAAAGATCTGAGGATCTCCAGTTGTGGTAATCAATATGTGCAAGAGAGGGGAACAGCCACTGCACCAAAAGGTCACAGGAACCTCATATTAAAAAAAAAAAAAAAAAAAAGGAAACCCAAGCCAACCTAGTAAAAACTTTAAATTTTGCTGGTTTCTCCGGGCTAGAGAGAAACGCTCCCTCCAGAGACAAACTCCGTGGTACTTAACCACGGCGCTGCGTGCTCAAGAGGCCGTGTACGACTCGAAGTAGCCAAGCACCACATTATTCAGATACCACAACCAACACCTGCACCAACAGCTGCCAGAGCTGGAAAAAGAGAAACATTATACATCAAGTTGACGGCAAGCTCGTGTTAGTCCTGTGTGCTTGTAAACCAGTTACACGCTGTCAGAGGGCAGTTAAAATTTGATGGCTGGTCCATCAGAATCCACAGTTATAAAGCATATAAACGGGGGAAGAAAAGGGAACTGAATTTTTACTGGCACGTTAAAAGAAATCAATTCAATGTTAGTTTTGAAAAAAAAAAAAAAAAAAAAAAAAAAAAAAAAAAAAAAAAAAAAAAAAAAAAAAAAAAAAAAAAAAAAAAAATCAGTGCTCTCATCAAACAGAAGCAGCAAAGATCCAAAGCTCCAAAGCTGTAAACTCGATGTAGTAGTATCACCAGGCAGCCTGTGACAGGGTTTTTTCGGTCAACAAAGCAATGCTATCGCTGTCGAGCCAATTTATTTTTAGGTGCGGATTCGGCCAAACGTCTTTTCGGTGCTTGTGGCATCTGAGGGAAAACTGGCAGGAATGACTTAGCCCATTCTAGAGGGCAAACAGAAAGACCATTCCCTTTGCTCTAGCAATGCCTCTGGACCTTCAAACATTGTAAACAGTGGATTTCTGTAACAGATTTTATCAAACACTCGGAATTTGAAGTCCTCGTATCAGGTCAGCTACGTCTCCGCTCGTCTAAACACGCAGCATTTCGTTGCTGACCTGAGGACCACCGTGACAGCACATTACAAAGCCTTCGTGTTGCCTTAAAGAATGGTCACCGTAAGTCAGACAACTCTTGGATTTCTCCTCACAGTCACAAATCTGAACCTAAAAAATTGGAGAAACTCCTTGGAATTGAGGCAAATATTCTGAAGTGACCCTTTGTGACAGGCAGTGACTGTTCCCCTCCAGAACCTAGAGCATGTGGTATATGGAGTGAGAGGTTACCAGTATCAACGGCATTTATTGGCTGCTGAGAAGTGTGAGATGTATTTTTTGTATATACACACATATAAAAAAATAAGAGTGAGGTAGATAAAAGTTTGAAAAAAAAAAATCAAAAAACTGTCCCCCTGTCATACTCAAAAACCCTTATCTCAGTACTTAAATTTCTTATGGGGCATCTCTACAGTGATTTAAACTGATATCACAAAAATAAATAAAAAATCCTACATAGAATACCTTCTTAATTAACTTTTTTGTCTTTTTCATTTTTAAAAGGGAAAAATAACTATGGGACAGAGGCAAGAGAAGATAATGGGACCTAAACTACACAAGCAAAAAGCACTACAAACTTTGTAAAATCTCCAGTCAAAACTAGCAATCAGTATATTTTAATTCTTTGTTCTTACTCAAAAGATTTAAACATTTCCATCCCAGAACCACCTCTTCACTGCCATCGTTTGGTTGGATCAGTGCTAAACAAAGGCTTAGATGCTGTAACTAACGTCAGACGAGCAACTGGTGGGACTCCTTGGTTGTAGACCTCCTGACGGCCCCCTCCTTCCCCTTTCACCAAGGCTTCTGCAACTGAACAAACAAGCTTACTCATTTTCTTTTGTTCTGAGGTTTGGTCTATGATTTAAGCAACAAGCTTGTACTTGTACAGGTTTCCATAGCTGCCAACGCTTAACCGTTTGCTAGCCAAGCCACTGGCCCCAGCTACGTCCTTTCTACCCAGCCCCATGGAAATGGCACGGTGGGGTTGGTTTGGTTTCATTGGGTTTTTTAACCAGGGGTGCGAAGCGCAGCCCGGGGCGCCCTCCGGGAGGGCTTCCTCGTTAGGAAGGCGAAGAGCTGGGGTCGGCTGGAGCCAGGTACTCAGTGGCCACCCCAAGAATGCCTGGGGCGCAACTGGTATAGCTCTTGTTCACAGGGTGAAAGGGTTAAAATAGTCTTTTTAAAAAAATCAGTGACCCAAAAGCCTGGTGTCTGCTGTTGTACCCAACAAATAACAACAACAAAAAAAAATAATATATATACGAGTGTGTGGGGAAAGTGTGTGTGGGGATGGGTGGGTGGATGTGTGCCACAACCAAAACAAGCGGGGAGGGAAGGAGGGGTAGGACCCTTGTACAACAATGAATATAAACACTGAACAAGAATGTACTAAATATTTAACCTTTTTTTTCTGACCTGAGTTTGTATCATGCCTTGCACTGTAAGAGACTCACAAGCTGTCTGGGCAGAGGTTAGTGGGAAGGAAGGAAAACCAGGGTTTAAAAAACACCACACCACAGCACTGCCAGAGTGTTTCCGTGCGGGGTGTCCCTTCTTTCTCCATGTCCCCCTCAAAAGCCCTGTAGCCCACACAGCCAAGATGTTGTAAAACAACTAATAAAAAAAAAAAAAAAAAAAAAAAAAAAAAAAAGGAGGAAATGTATTTATAAAAAGGCATTAAACAGTTCATGGCAAATCATATGAAAGGTATCAGTTACTGGGAAGGAGGAAGTAAAAGTTACACACTATAGTACAAAGCATAAGAAAATCTGTTGAAGTGGGAGGGAAGGGAAGGGAAGGAGGGCAGACCTGAAGGTTTTCATAGATTAAATCCACAAAGATAAAGAACAAAAAAAATAGCAGCTTTTTTCTGTACAGACATATAGATGAGTATCTGAACCGTAAAAAAGTTATAAAAGTGACACAAAAGACAATGTGTATGCAAATGATCCATGGTCTAACATAGAACTGCAAGACCCTTCGAGAAGTCTTAATAATAAAGAGAAAAGGTCAACAAAGCATCATAGACTTGAATCCGGTTACTGCTTTTTTTTGTCTTCTCCAATTTACGTTTCTAGGTGTTTTTTTCCTTGCAAGCCTGTGGAGGACGGCAGGCTGCAACGATGGAGATCTCTGCCGGTTATTTTCATGGTTTTCATGTTTCATTTTTGGCGTGCGGTTGACTTTTTTTTTTTTTTTTTTTTTTTTGTACGAAATGCACGTGTTTGTTTAGCTCACCACTGCCAGTTTTGTCCAGAATTCACTGGGATGGGGACAGGGCGGAGGGAGGGCTGTTTCTTTACCCCATCCCTTTTATCTTCTCCATCACAAGAAAAAAAAAAATAATCACATTTTGTCCAGTTTTGCAAAAAGATCTAGACAATTGGATTTTTTTTTTAATTTTTTTTTTTTTTAAATACCAGTGTATGATTGAATAGAACATATTGGTCAGGATCTCCTTTAAACAGAGCAGTTGATTACTGTGCTCCTTCCATGCCTACAAAAAAAAAACAAGAACAAAAACCAAAGAGTTCAGTTTTTTTGGCAAAATTTGGCAGCGTTGAAAATGGTAACAACCTTGGACGAATGATGGCCCTTTTTTATTCTTTTACATGTTCCTAAAAAGATTAAAGAGCAACATTAAAAATCCAGTCCTTTTTTAATCGCGGGGTTTTTTGTGGGGGGTTTTTGTTTGGTGTGTTTTGTTTTTTTTTTTTGTTTGGGTTTTTTTTGTTGGGTTTTGTTTTGTTTTTTTAATAAAGACCTACAGTGTTAGGCAGGTGCTTGCAAGGGTACCGGGGAGCCACCTGGCCTGCGATATCTTTGATCTGATAAAAGTGCTGTACGGTTGAACTTGCACGCAGATATGTTTCCCATTACGAAGCAAAGAGAGAGACAGACAGAAAGAGGAAGAGGAGGAGGAGGAGAGGGGGTGGGGAGAGGGAGAGAGACATCAGATCTCAAGTTTTCTGTTGCTATTAAGTGTGAACATTAGAGTTTTAAAAGGCCAACTGTGTGCCCCATGAATGGAGTCCTTTACTGAAACAAACATCTGCTTGCATATTGAAAAAAGAAAAATACGATAACTTGTTTACTGAAAAAAAGGGTTCTCCCAAGTGCAGCTATGGCAGTTCTGAAGATCCACTGAGGTACAGTAGGCTTTTGAATATATTGTAATTTTCTTTCTTTCTTCCCCCAATGCACGTGTTTTTCTGTGTTTTATTTCTGTGAGATTCGGGTTCTAAGGATCAGCAGGCCGAAGACTGGGGCAACGGTAAGGCCCTCTCGTTCTTGCGTCCCCCGTTCATGTGTGCGTACGGCTGTCTCTCCTCGAAGCTGGCCCGAAGGACCACCACGCCCGGGCCGTTCTCGGCTTTGTGTCCTGAGTGCTTGTCAGTGGGTTGGAGGGTGGAGGAGGGATCTAAAGGAATGCTCTCCATGTTTTCAGTCTCCAGGTCAAGCTCCTCTGTATCTGGAGGCTTGTTCTCTTCACTGTAGAAGAAGGAGACCTCCTTGAACGCTGGATCCAGCTCGTCCTTAATGCTACCGATGATTTCCAGGAAGGAAGGCCTCATTTTCGGATTGTACTGCCAGCACATGCGCATCAGTTCAAACCTGGAAAGAAAACACACAGCAAAACCATTTATTGAGGTGTTTTATGAGCCCGGGCTGGAGCCCAACCAACCGTGACTGACTCGGACCACGCGGTTTAGAAAATCATTCGATTCTGAGGGAAGACAAAGTGACAGGATTTTTACAGGCCGAGATCCCCGCGTCACATTTCGACCTTCTTCCTAATCACTGATTTACTTCTACAGCTCCTCAACGTTCTCCACTCCCTTCCACACACTTGCCCGTAAGTGTCTCGTGGGTACCTGACACCCAGAAGCATTTCGTACTTTTATTCTGACTCGCTGTTTCTCTTTTTCTCCAAAATACCCTGTGCTTACTGAATCATACAGCTGCATGACAGTCTTTTTTTTTTTTTTTTTTTTTTTTGTACGAAATGCACGTGTTTGTTTAGCTCACCACTGCCAGTTTTGTCCAGAATTCACTGGGATGGGGACAGGGCGGAGGGAGGGCTGTTTCTTTACCCCATCCCTTTTATCTTCTCCATCACAAGAAAAAAAAAAATAATCACATTTTGTCCAGTTTTGCAAAAAGATCTAGACAATTGGATTTTTTTTTTTAATTTTTTTTTTTTTTTTAAATACAAGTGTATGATTAGGATCTCCTTTAAACAGAGCAGTTGATTACTGTGCTCCTTCCATGCCTACAAAAAAAAAACAAGAACAAAAACCAAAGAGTTCAGTTTTTTTGGCAAAATTTGGCAGCGTTGAAAATGGTAACAACCTTGGACGAATGATGGCCCTTTTTTATTCTTTTACATGTTCCTAAAAAGATTAAAGAGCAACATTAAAAATCCAGTCCTTTTTTAATCGCGGGGTTTTTTGTGGGGGGTTTTTGTTTGGTGTGTTTTGTTTTTTTTTTTTGTTTGGGGTTTTTTTGTTGGGTTTTGTTTTGTTTTTTTAATAAAGACCTACAGTGTTAGGCAGGTGCTTGCAAGGGTACCGGGGAGCCACCTGGCCTGCGATATCTTTGATCTGATAAAAGTGCTGTACGGTTGAACTTGCACGCAGATATGTTTCCCATTACGAAGCAAAGAGAGAGACAGACAGAAAGAGGAAGAGGAGGAGGAGGAGAGGGGGTGGGGAGAGGGAGAGAGACATCAGATCTCAAGTTTTCTGTTGCTATTAAGTGTTAACATTAGAGTTTTAAAAGGCCAACTGTGTGCCCCATGAATGGAGTCCTTTACTGAAACAAACATCTGCTTGCATATTGAAAAAAGAAAAATACGATAACTTGTTTACTGAAAAAAAGGGTTCTCCCAAGTGCAGCTATGGCAGTTCTGAAGATCCACTGAGGTACAGTAGGCTTTTGAATATATTGTAATTTTCTTTCTTTCTTCCCCCAATGCACGTGTTTTTCTGTGTTTTATTTCTGTGAGATTCGGGTTCTAAGGATCAGCAGGCCGAAGACTGGGGCAACGGTAAGGCCCTCTCGTTCTTGCGTCCCCCGTTCATGTGTGCGTACGGCTGTCTCTCCTCGAAGCTGGCCCGAAGGACCACCACGCCCGGGCCGTTCTCGGCTTTGTGTCCTGAGTGCTTGTCAGTGGGTTGGAGGGTGGAGGAGGGATCTAAAGGAATGCTCTCCATGTTTTCAGTCTCCAGGTCAAGCTCCTCTGTATCTGGAGGCTTGTTCTCTTCACTGTAGAAGAAGGAGACCTCCTTGAACGCTGGATCCAGCTCGTCCTTAATGCTACCGATGATTTCCAGGAAGGAAGGCCTCATTTTCGGATTGTACTGCCAGCACATGCGCATCAGTTCAAACCTGGAAAGAAAACACACAGCAAAACCATTTATTGAGGTGTTTTATGAGCCCGGGCTGGAGCCCAACCAACCGTGACTGACTCGGACCACGCGGTTTAGAAAATCATTCGATTCTGAGGGAAGACAAAGTGACAGGATTTTTACAGGCCGAGATCCCCGCGTCACATTTCGACCTTCTTCCTAATAACTGATTTACTTCTACAGCTCCTCAACATTCTCCACTCCCTTCCACACACTTGCCCGTAAGTGTCTCGTGGGTACCTGACACCCAGAAGCATTTCGTACTTTTATTCTGACTCGCTGTTTCTCTTTTTCTCCAAAATACCCTGTGCTTACTGAATCATACAGCTGCATGACAGTGCCTCGCAGAGTATCTTTATTAACCAACCAATCCCTACCCCACCGGTATTGCCTTGGAAAAAATGAAAATAGGAAATACACACAATGTAAAAGCACCACTTTTTTCCCCTCTGAAAGAAGAAAATTACATGGAAATTAATTGTAATCCCCAAAAGACATTTGCCAATCTCACAGACGTTCTCTGATCTTTTATTTTAAAACTACGTTGTTTTCGTTTACGGCCAGGGATGCATTCATGTTTTACGGACTGTGAGATCATCTGTTTAAGCACATCCATGATTAGATCTGTACAACGTCCCATGCTGGCAAAACAAAACCACAAAATGAAGCAGTAACACGTACATAATGAAAACAGCATTTTCATGACACAGCAAAATTGGATATTCCTGAGAGATCGCCCCGAGCTTTAAACACAAGGCAAGAAAGCATTTCACTGTCAGCGAAGGTGGAAGAGGGACGTCTTCTGTTCACACAACAAAAGTAACAGGATAAATGTAAATAACAAAAGGAAGATTAACATTAATTCTTCGAGCCAATCCTCTGCGTACACAGCACTCAGAGAAACACGCAATGTGCAGAAAGTCACCACTGGCCAAAACTACTGCGGTGCTAGAGTAAGAATGGATCTTAAAAAAAAAAAGAAGAAAAAAAAGAAAAAAAAGAAACCACCAAAGAAAAATTTTTCTGCTAAGGTAACGTACTGGAGAATCCTTCACATCCCTGACACCCTCCAGCGCTGTGACGGGCAGCCCCGGTGAGACCCCCTCGCCTTGCCTGGCCAGCAGGCTGGACCAGTGGCCAGTCTGGGCCAGTCTTCCCGCGTAAGGTTAGAGAGGTCACCTAGCTTTTAGTTTTTATTCTGTAACGCAGCAATACCATTTTCCTAACTTCCACAGATTCTCAGAAGGTAAGCAAGCAATTCGATTTTATGCTTTAATTAGCTCTCACTGCCGTATGCCCCAGCAGCAGTTTACTAGATCTCTGCATCAGTGTGTGGGATGATTTTACTTTTTAATTAAAAAACAAGAACAAATGAACAAAAATTCACTCCTTTTTTGAATAGCACCTAAGTCCCTCACAGAGTCATGCCTTAATGCCTCCAGAGTCCCTGCTCTAGAACAAACCTTTCAACAGGACTCTCACCGAGCTGGAAACCCCCGGCCTCCGAAGCCCGTTGCTGTGCATCGCTGCCCACAGCGGGGTCTGGAGCGTCTGGGAACCCTGGCCTGGAACAAAACCAAAGCAAAGCAATCCCCTCCCGCAGAAACTCGCTCCTTGGGAAATACCGCTGCGTTTCCTCATCGGGTGCACGACGTCCTCAGCTGCCGCGAGCCAGCAGAGAGGGAAAGCTGCTGTGTTTGGGACGCACGCGCTGCTGAGAGCGCTTCCACCAAAGCAAAAGCAATCTGAACTGAAGTGCATTTAAAGTCACAAATATTCCTGTTAGAGCTCTGCTGGCACAACTCTGTCTGAACAAAACTCAGCCACCTGAGCACGGCCTTGTGACACCCAAAAAGAAGCTGGCAAAACCAGTCTGTGCTGGGAGAACTCCCTGGGTACTCAATGCTGCACTGTAACAGGCACGTAGACATATAAACACGGTTAAACTCCTGCTTGTTTCTGAGTCTTTAAAAAAGCCTTTCATAGCAAAAGTGAAGCCAAACTATAAAACTGCACTATACCCTCACCCACAGACGAGGAGGAAAGCTTGAGACATAAATATATAAAATCCATTTCTGTTACTTCATTGCTGTTTCCTTTCCAGCTGACTGCTGCGTCCCTGAATAGAAGCGTTAGCTGGAGCCAAGAACACTGGATATTCGCTGGCGCTTCGCCCTGAGGCCTAAGGGCAATGCTAAGGAGATACCACAAGCAGTGGAGTAATGCATGTGACATCAGCACAAACAAGGACATGTGATGTTTCTTTTAAGCCATTCCAGATTTAAAAACCCTACAGAGTTCCCATAAAAGGATTTTTTTTTTCTTTTTAACTCTGTGGGTTCAAAAACCTTGCTTACATTATCTTAAACAAAAAAAAAAAAAAAACCACACACAAAAACCCCAAAAAACCCAACAAACCCTTTCCAGTAGACAACGGAAGAATTTACAGGCTGTTAATACAACCTGAGCAGTTTTATAAAGTACGTTTCCAACCAGTGGTGAGGTCAAGGCAGTTGCAGGCATCGTCATGAGAGAGAGGAATAGCCAGTGTCTTTCCTATGCAGCCTCTGCTCAAAGAACCGAGCAGAAACTGGGCTACTTTTTGCACAGAGAGAGTAAAAATCAGAAAACAGAAAGTTACTATAGAAGCTGCATTCCATTTGAGTGTGTGTTTGTGCTTTGCATCAGGCTTTATATGGTGGGGAAAGTGAAAAGACCTCTCCTGTTCGGCTGTCGCTACACGCTGACATTGCCTCCGCGCAGCAGACCCCGGTTCCTAACCGAGTGCTCGCCAGGAACAAAGGGAAAATCAGCAATGCGTAAATAGTCTAGTCATCTACGGTACATGTGGGGGAAGCAATTTTGCTTCAAAAACAGAGTGGAATTCCAGCCTCCACAACTTTTAAAAGCCCCACGGGAACGCACTGTCTGAGAGCTTCAGCTGTAACAAACCTTCTTGCCACGCAGCCATCACCTGACGAACACTGCCGTAACAATGGTAGGACATAAAAACAGAACTTATTACACAGGAAGAGGAGAAAAACAGCAAAGCTCCTCCTGGCACCGCCTTATTGAACCATCTGTCTTACTGCATGGTTCTGTCTGTAAAACCATGCAAACTATGCCAAGAGGGCGTAGCATAAACAGGACTGAGTCTTGTTTCACCCTGTGTAAGAGTAAAAAGCCTCTAGAAATACCGTCCCCTTTGTGCTTAGCCCTTTCACAGGGATTTACCACCTCTCTGACCACAAGACAACCACGCTGTAAAAATCCCCCTTTGCACAAGTCTGCGACCCAACCAAGCTGCAGAACAGAACCTCTCCAGTTCTTCAAGTGCCCTTGGTCTCCAATCCATCTAAAAGCTACTGCCTCGTTGCTCCCAGGGGTTAGCAAAGCACAGCCACTAACGAGCATTACTCGCATTGCAGTCTTAGGAGAGATGGAACGTCCAAGATTGCTTGCACCACGTAGCATTCGTGCA